TCGAGAGAAGTTATTTATTAATGTAATCGATTAAAAAAGATAAACTTTCAAAGAGTTGTTGGGATAAACTGGACTATATCAATCCAGTTTTCCTACATATACTCTATTGTTGATTCTGTGTAATAGACATCATAAAGAAAGTCAGGTGCAAACTATAAACAAGTTAAACCTTATGCTATTTGGGTGTATTTGGTAATTATATATCTATATGATTTTTTTCATTAGAAATCAAAACTTTTTTAACCTATGCAAACTTGAGTTTTCAAATGTAAATTTAAAGGTCTTGAATTTTTTTCTTCTGATTAGTATTTGATTTAATTAAAAAATGCTAATGTACTAAGTATCTTTTGAACTCCTTTAGAGTAGTACAAAGTAGGTATGATTACAAAGTAATTCATATAAAACTATATTACCATTTTATTGGTTTATTTTTTGTTTAGATCAGTTAATTAGGTAAGAGTAGTAAATTAAGGGTTATATCTGTTATTGAATTGTTGAAGTGTTACTTGCTATTTAAAATAAATTATGTCAGTAGAGATATTTTTTAAAATAATTTTGATTGTTGACCAGATCAAAGTAATAATATAGTCATCGTTAAGTGGCTGAGTGAGTGTCTGCAAAATAATTTTACGTACTAGCGTTTAAATAATTTGAAAAAATTGATAGAAATCGACATTTTGTGGTCTGTAGGAAGGAAACCATTTACTTAAATAGAAATTGCATGTCAAATATGAAAAGTGTGTGTCATTAACTTTTAGTGTCGAAGTTGAATAAACTCGATGTCCAATGTGCTGGGTCGAGTACAAAAACAAATAGCATGAATTTTTCATATCCGTGTTTAAATTATTTCAACCTTATCACAAACATAAATAGCTTCCATCAAAGTATACATTTTAAAATGGTTGTTAACCCTAGAACGCCCACAGCATGTATACAATTAAGGCGATATTGCACAAAAACGCGCCTCTTGCTTGGCTGGTTTGTTTGTCGAAACGAGGTGACACAAAGCGTTACAACTCGAAAGTCCCGTCCCTTTAACAAGCGAAACGTCGTATATACATGCAATTTAATAAATGCAATGAAAAGTTATTCAGGTCATATCGTCTAAATAAAATAAGCGCAATTATGCTTCTGCTCAGGCAACTGAGCTAGAAAAACCTGCTAATACCTCAAAACGCACAACCTATTCTTTAAGAAATAAAGCCCGTGTTACGCATACAACATGTTGACGCGTAAATGGTACTACTATCGACAAGATAAACATCAGTTTAATACACTATTAATATTTATTAAATTCCTTGCAATTTATTGTGTGTTTGCGTTTTAAATCTATAAAATGAATGGGGTTTTCTTTGATGTTTTCATTTTTAT